ACAAATTAATTGAGGCTGCGATGAGCTATGATTGTGCCACTGCACTCCAGCCTGAGTGGCAGAGTGAGACCCTGTCTCTAAAAGCCAACAAACAAAAACGCCGAAGAGTTTGAGTTCTAGCTTGAACTCTACAGGGAGCTATTGAAGATTGGGAATAAAATTGTTAGATTTACTTTTATAAATAAAGGTAATTTTTGTTACCAGGATAGAGAAAGGATTTGGAGGTAGGAGACTAGAGAAAAGGGATGCAGGTGAAAGAGTTCTGCAATAATTTATCGGGAAGTACCAATGGGATTAATGGATAAGTGCCAAGAAGGTGGAATCAAGGAACATAATGACTTACCTAAATAAAGGAGGAGTGAGAGAGAGAGAATCTGGGCAGTTGGTGATGTTATTCACTAAGACAAAGAAAACAGGAAAAAAGATACATTTTGTTGTATGAAAGGGTTCAGATTTTTTCAAATTAAATCTGAGGAGTGAACGGGGACATTGAACTCAAAATGACTTGTAAACAATTAGAGGTAAGGTCTGGATCTTGTAAAAAGAAGTTTTGACTTGAAATTTATATGTGTGCTTTTAAATGTAATAAGCAATATTAGAAGCCCAGTGCCTTCGGAAGTCCCAAGGGGATCATGTATAAGGAAGTAACCCCCTTAAAAATGAAATTTAAAGAAAAAGTGGACACTATCAAAGAGATTGAGAAGTGGCCACAGAAGTGAGAGGAAAGGAAAGTGATGTTTCTAGAAGGCAAAGACAGGAGTGGTCAAAGATAATGAGTGGTAATATAAGATAGGAATATTAAAGATTGAATCTATCAGTTAGGAGGATGTTTTTCACTATTTTTGACCGTGAAGTATTAAGACCATAGTTCAAAATCCGAAGTTACTTTGACTTTGGAAATTCATATTTACTAATAGGTGGACTTAGTTCCGTCACAAAATTACTTTCTGATTAGATAATTTAAGTTGTTATTTGATATTTTTATATATATACACAAACTATACTCTAAAAAAATAAGTTTACTATATGACAAAATTCAAGTGTAATCAAAATTACTTTAAAAAATGTATCTACCATAAGTATTTGCATTGCTCGCATGTGTTAGTTATTAGTACCAGTAATCTTTTATCTATTTTAGCTGCTTTTTACTCTCAAAATTACAGAAGCTTTTCTCCAAATGAAATAATATGTCAATATTCTTTAGGCTGGCTATGCCAGGAGATTCTCTCCCTTAACAGAATTCCTGTATTTTATCTTCTTAGAAATAATCACACTACAAAATATTTGCAGTGAACTGTTATATACCTCATGGCATTCTGGTAATGGTGAACCTAATCACTTTAACTGTTGATATCCTAAAAAATTAGACTTACAGATTCATTAACAGTTGAAATGATTATTGAAAAATTTTATCCAAAACGTAACTTATGTAATTTACTAATTCATATGAAGGCCTCAATGATGCTGTTTCTATAAATGAAAATATAAAGTTCTCTATGCTCTTTTAATTAAGAATTTTTCTTTCCATCATAAATTATTTATCAGCTTATTCTGCATGTATGTATACTCTAGATATGAAGTATTTAACTAAAACCATTCTTAATGTAAATGATCATGTGATTTATGTTTGTTTGGAACTGAACTACCTAGAGTAGCTACTAGGAGTGTGAATATGCAAATTTAAATTAATTAAAATAAATTAATCTCTTCAGTTGCATTTGCTGTATTTCAAGTGCTCAACAGTTGACATGTGGCTGGTGGCTAACATTGGACAATGTAGTTATAGATCATTTCTATCATCACTGTCTATTGCACAGTCTGTTGTAGAGATAAGCATTATAATTTAACATTATATTATAATTTAACATAAAAGTAAGAAGAAAAATTATATAATTTAGGCCAGTAATTAGCAACTTATTATTATATAATTAAGTGTATTAGTGATATATTCATAAAATGCATTCTTACTTAAAACATACCCTGAGACTTTTTAGTTATTCTACACTTTGAAGTTTCAATTCAGTTTTCACATGTTATACTGATGCTATGATGGAAATGATTTATACTCACCTCCCAAATAGTTAATGTATGGTGAATGAAAAAAGATGTTAGCTGAATGTGGTGGCTCATGCCTGTTATCCTACCTCTTTGGTTATCCTAGCTCTTTGGGAGGCTGAGAGGAGAGGATCACTTTAGTGCAAGAGTTCGAGACCAGCCTGAGCAACATAACAAGACTCTGTTGCCACAAAAAATAGAACAATTAGCCAGGGTGGTGGTGTACACCTGTAGTCCCAGCTACTAGGAAGGCAGAGGCAGGAGGATCTCTTAACCTCAGGAGTTTAAGTTTGCGGTGAGCTGTGATGATGCCACTGTACTCTAGCCCTGGTGGCAGAGAAAGACCCTGACTCAAAAAAAAGAAAAGAAAAAGATATTGAACAGAAACCATTTTTAAAGGGCATATGAATTGGTAATAAGCTAAAATTAATTGCAGAGAAATGGCAGAAATGAAATTATTATCATAAAGTAATCTAAGAACAGTGAACCAAAAACATTTGGCTTTTAAGGTCTTAACTCATCTTCCCATTGTTATTCCCTCCTGTAGACTGTTTTCATCTTTTCATTCCATTAAGAAGCTTTGCACACCTTGTCCTGCTCCTAGTGCTCTAGGACTTGACAGAGTTTTTTAGATTCATAGTTATTCAGTGAACCTAGAGATAGATTACTGTCTTGTAGATTCTAGGTTTCTGATCCATGCTGTACTCCAATTTACTAAAATTACGTTCTTATTCTAGATTGGTCAGCTGGTTTTTGGTCTTTGATTTTAATAACTGGTTGATTCTTGTTTATGGTCTTCTCAGGGTGAGAATCTTAGACCCTGTGGTCAAGCAGGAAGCTAAGAGGTAGATTGAAAATAGACTGAATTTTGCAAGAACTGTCAGCATTTATTGCCCAAAAAGAGAGTGCCAGAGAACATGTCGTTAAGTAAAAATATATTGCTTATCAGTCATACTCAGACTCTTTAGCCAAATCCGAGACTGTAGGAATTGGTATCACCCACATCATTTTAAAGGTTTATTTAGGAAAAATACAAAGGAGATAGTGGTTTGTGGGAAAAGCCCAGTACTTGGTATCTGAAGGCCCATGTTTGAATATAGATGGTTCCTGTTTACTACTAGTAATTTTGTGACTTTGAATAAGGCTTTAATGTCAGCTTTCTTAAGGGAAAAATGTTCCTTGCATGCTTGTTTTAGGAGTTAAACGAAACAATGCAAGTGTAAGTACCTAACACAGCTACTGGCACAAAGCTGGATAAATGGTACTGGATAAATGTTTGAATCTAAGTCTTAATTGATTTGTTGGTGTAAAAACAACAAAATTATGTTTTAATAAGAGTTGTACAGTTCTTTTTCATGGAGCATAGAAAACCTGGCAAGAATTTTTAAGGATTAGATAATTTATGGAAAAGTTAACTTGTTTTTTCTTAGGTACTTTCTTTAAGCATTTTATAAAATGATTTTTATGAAGAGCTGTTTATTAAATCACTGGCTTTTCCCATCAAATCTAAGTCTTCTTTTGAAAATATATAATAAACTCATAAATCAAATACATGGCTTGATATCTGGAATGTTGTCTTATTTTTATGAGAGTTTTTTTTTTTTTCATAGCTTTAAAGCCATTTCAGGTTTAAGTTGTTAATTACATTTTTCCTCCATACATATTTGCTTCAATTCCCTTTTACAAAACAATTCATAATGAATATGGCAGATGATAAAGGTAAAATTTGGAATACTCATTCCAAAATCATGAGTATATGAAAGCAAAAATTTTCCCAGTAATGAAGTTTGTTCACATGAGAGTAGAACAAGTATCTTGGTAGGTGTCCAAAAAAAGCACAGCTGTGGATTTATTTTTTTGGAGTAACTGTACATGTGAGAGTGGGGACTTAAATAAATTTTTCCCTAAAGTATATTTCATTATCTATCCCAGATTAGGTGAATTATACTGCAGAGCTGAATTTTTAATATGTTCTAAGTATGCATCACTTTCTCAGAGTTATTTCCCTGGACCACCCATCCAAACTTGTACCACCCTAATTTTCTGTTTTTGTTTTTTCATGTTTCTTCCTTGCCACTGTCACTGAAGTTGTCATAGTAATTTATTTAGCCATTTGTCTATTTTTTGTTTTTATGACATTAGGAACTTTTTCTGTCTTGATCCCCACATTCTCCTTAGTATCTTACAGTGGTATTTGTGAATGAAGAAAAAAAATTCGTTATTTTATTTTATAGTAATCTATAAAATGGACTCCTTTTATGTCATCAGTATATAATGTCAGTATACCATCAGTATACCATGTCCATTTGCTAGAACTTGCAGAATTTTTGTAGTTAAAAATAATTATATATATTTATATGGCATTCCTAGAATAGTGTCTGGCACATAGTAATGCTACCTATTTATAAATACAAAGATTATAGAAAATTATGTCTATTTGCTTTTATAACATATGATCTGCACCTTATTTGATCCTGAGTTTATTATTAACATAACGTAGATCTGTACTTTAATTGCTCCTGAGTCCTTAGCTGAAAGGCAACCCTAATTTCTTTTATTTTCAGAAATCATCAAAAGACAAAGACTTTTAGTGTTGGATATTTTCTATTAGGGGGAAATGTGAAATAGGAATCCTGAATTTATCCATTTGTTAAAAATATTTTCACTCTTTTAGGTACTTGGTATGATGGGGTAAAAAGACATGATACAAGTGGTAGAAGCCTATACACCAGCTGATGCAGTGGCTTATTGAATTCGTTTTAGTTTATAAGCTTTACTGCTGATTCCTATGACAGTTTCGAAAGGTGAAGTTTATCACTTTTTCCTCTTTGTTTAAATTTTCATTAATTTTGTTAGGAAAACCACATCATCTTTCTCCTGCTATTTATTCATTCAGGAAACAGAGGTAGGCACTGGGCCAAGCTCATGGAGATCATTGTCATCCTTTCATGCCTCCTGATAACCAGAAGAAAAGTTGCCACATGGGTGTATAAATAGGTAATAGTTTATTAAAATGAGAAATACACAGGTTAAAGGGAAGCATTTTTGCTTGGTAGATTGATAGTACTAATGGGAGGCCAGCTATTTATTTCTCTGCAATAGCAGGAGTTGTGGGGTAAGAGGAGGTTTATTCTCTATAAAGCCATCTGGTGATGAATCAGCCAGCCAGTTGCCACAGCATAAGGATAGACTATACTTAACATGTGTTTTAGCTCAAGTAATTGCATACAGTGATTATCATTTATATAATAGATTTTTTTCCCCTCAAACTTAATAATCTAAGTACTTTTTTGCTGTAGGTTATGTGATACACTATTTTGTAGTTCTGTTGTAATGCTGTCACGTATCAAGTGCACAGTGATTGTTGCCTATCTCTTAACTCTGTCATAGTAATTAAGACCACTCAGATCTTGTCGTCATTGCTCAGTTTGAATTATATGAGACTGGTAGAAACATTTTTAGTATAAATAAATAAAAGCAGTAAAATATACACAATTTGAAACCTAGAGTGTAGTAAAGCCGTGTGCTCTGCTCAACTGCAGAGGTTTTTTGTTTGTTTCTTGTTTTCTTAGAATTTAAAGCTTAAGTATTAAAATTTTAGTCCATTAAATCCTAAAATGAACTCTGATCTAGCAGGAAAGTCAGTTTTTAAAGCTAATCATAGCTTCCATGTAAATGGAAGATAGATTTTCATATAACATAGTGTGAAAGGTTTATTGATGATGGTTTTAGATACCATATTGCAAATAACTTTCAAGAAACTATCATTTGTATAGTTTTGATGTTGTATCAAAGAAAACTATCTACAATTATTTGAAAAGCCTATTAAAATTCATCTCCCTTTTCCACCTAATTATCTGTTTGAAGCCAAGTTTTCTTTATATATTCCAAGTTGAGCAATATTTGGCAATGGATTAAATGCAAATCTGATATGAGAAGGTTTTTTTTACTAAGCCAGACATTAAAGAGATTTACGTAATATAAAATAGTACTACTCTTCTCACTGTTTTTTGTTTTGGAAAACATAGTTACTTTTTCATAGAAATATTGGCAATTTTTAAATGAAATTGTTTTATTGTTATTTTAAATGAATTAATAAATAAATACCAGTTTCTCAGTTTTTGTTACTAATATAAGTAATATATATCTGTATTTCTTCCATGTAAACAAATGGGAGTTCATTTTTTTTAAAGAGTGTTAAAGGTTTCCAACAAAAAGTTTAAGAATTCTTAAACAAAAAGTTTAAGAATCACTGCTCTCAGAAAATGTATTAAGAAAATAAAGTACATGTGAGGAAAGAGAAATTGAAATTACATTTTTTAAAAATTGCATTCCATGGTTTACATGTGGTAGACAAAGAAGCAATTTCTTTGGTCTCCATAGTTCTTTAGTTCTTAATCAGCTATCAAATGAGCTATCACTCATTTTGAATTCAGTCTTTCCTTCTCAAACCATTTGTATATAAAACATTTATTTGTATAATATTGCTGTTATTTTCTGATGTTAACATGATACTAATGTGAGCAATTACTTGAGGATTATAAACCTGAATAAACTGTGCTAAAAGCCTTTTAGGAGTATAATAACAGTTTGCTAGTTGACCACCTATTTACTTACCTTAATCTTTTTCTTTTTAACTGGAGTCTTACAGGAGTCTGTGGGCTTACTTCACTGACGAGAATTTAGTATATTTGTCATTGCCCGGGACCTGTGGACAGTACATTTAATTAGGTGTGAATTTTGGTGAATGCAGTTCCATTCTTAGGCCTACTTACGGGGTTTGGTGAATGGATACTAAAGCTAAAAATATCTGAATGTATGTTTTTCTTCATATCTCTCTTCAGGATGACGTAGCTTTGCCAAAGACTTAGAAGCTAAGCAGAAAATGAGCTTAACATCCTGGTTTTTGGTGAGCAGTGGAGGCACTCGCCACAGGCTGCCACGAGAAATGATTTTTGTTGGAAGAGATGACTGCGAGCTCATGTTGCAGGTAATTGTGTCAGCCTTCTTTATATGTGTCCACTCAGAACTTGGAATTACTGTAAAATAACTTTCTACTTCTTTGGAGAACAACACTATTTAGATTTGAACTTTCTGTCTCTCCTTTTAGCTCTAGCTATCAGTTTAATTGATTTTTTTCATCCCCTTGAATCACCTAAAAAAATATTCTAAGTCTTAGGGATTATTTGAAGAATGAGGGCTCAGAATAAAGAAGTTTTATTCTTAAGTAAGAAGTTTCACATTATATGCTTTTAAAATAAAAGCCTGTAAATAATTCATAAAATTAGCATAGCATGGAGTAAAACTGAATTTTAATTGTGGATACTTCAGTGATACTGAAATTAGTTTCATTGCTTCTTTTAGAGATGTTCATTATGATGCCTACCAGTAGTTTGAGTATAATTAAAGATTATTGATATTTTTTAAAAATAAATTTTATTTTGTACATTGAACTTATACAACATGATGCTGTGGGATACATACAGATAATAAAAAGATTACTATAATGAAACCAATAAACACATGTGTCATCTCAGATAGTTACCCGTTTTTTTTTTGTTCTTGTGACAAGAACAACTAAAATCTATTCATAGCATGAATCTCATATAGTACAATTTTATTACCTGTAGTCCTCATGTTGTGCATTAGATCTCTAGACTTCTCATTTTATGTATCTGCTACTTTGTATATTCTCTGACCTATAGCCCCCCATTCCTCCCTCCTCCATAACTATTACTTTGTTCTCTAGCTCTGAATATTTTAATTTTTTTTTTTTAAGATTGTACATACAAGTGAGAGCATATAATATTTTTCTTTCTGTATTTGGCTTATTTCACTTAACATAATGTTCTCCAGGCTCATTCATGTTGTAGCAGATGGCAAGATCTCACTCTTTTTTAGGGCTGAATAATACTACATTGTACATATGTACCACAGTTTCTCTATCCATTTGTTTAGTTCACTGGTGGACACCAAGGTTGTCTCCATATCTTGGCTCTTGTGAATAATGCTACAGTGAACATGGAAGTGCAAATATCTTTATGAGGTGGAGATTTCATTTCCTTTGGGTATATCCCTAGAAGAGGGATTGCTGGTTTATATAGTACTTCTATTTTTAATATCTTTATAATCCTCCATACTGTTTCCATAATGGCTGTACCAATCTACATTCCCACCAGTAGTGTACAAGAGTTCTCTTTTGTCCACATCCTCACCATTTATTATCTTTTGACTTTTTGATACTAGCCATACTAATTGGTGTAAAGTAGTATCTCATACTGGTTTTGATTTGCATTTCTCTGATGATTAATGATGGTGAGCACCTTTTCATATACCTGTTATCCCTTTTTGTGTCTTTGGAGAAATATTCAGGTCTTTTGCACCATGTTTTAATCCAGTTATTTGTATTCACACTATTGAATCATGTAATATGAAGGTTTCTTTTTTTACACATTTTGGATATTAACCCCTTATCAGATATCTTGTTTGAAAATATTTTTTCCTAATCTGTAGGGTACCGTTTCATTTTGTTGATTGTTTCATTTTCTGTGCAGAAGCTTTTTAGTTTGTAGCCTCATTTATTTATTTTTGCTTTTGTTGCCCGAACTTTTCGGTGGATATCAAAAATATCATTGCCAAAGCCAATGTCTAGGAGCTTTTTCCTTAGTTCTCTTCTAGGAGTTGTATAGTTTCTGGCCTTCTATTTAGATGTTTCATCCATTTTGGGTTGTATATGTGGGTAAGATAAGGGTCTAATTTCATTGCTTTGCATGTGGAAATATGGTTTTCCTAGTACCATTTATTAACGAGATTATGCTTTTCCTGTTGTTTCTCTTGGTGCCCTTGTCAAAAATTAGTTTACTGTATATGTTTGGATTTATTTCCGAGCTTTCTATTCTGTTCCACTGGTTTTTATCTCCTTTTTATGTCAGTATAATACTGTTTTGATTATTATAGCTTTGTAATATAATTTTAAATCAGGAAGTCTGATGCCTCCAACTTTGTTTTTCTTTCTCGGAATTGTTTTGGATATTAGAGATCTAAAGATTGCTGGTATTTACTGAATCATGTGTGAAGGAGTTATTTTTGAGAGATACTTTTTAAAATCTTCTTGGGGAAGGTAATCAGCAGAAAAATGGATCTCCAGATTTTTGAGGATTTATTAATATTTAATAAGTCCTGGCAATGTAGAATAAAGTCTTATCCCTCTGCCTACTTTTCTTATGGGGTTTAAATACCGCAAACATGTACTTAGAGTAGAAATGTTTATGGTTGTCATGTAAGCCACCCACCCCCCAAGGACATTTGGCAGTATTTATAGACATTTTGATTGTCACAGATGGTGGGGGCGTAGAAGTAATTCCTATTGACATCCAGTGAGTAGAGTCCAGAGATGCTGCTAAACATCCTACAATGTACAGCATACTTCTTCTTGTCACCTCCCCTACACACACAACAAAGAATTATCTGGCCCAGGGGTCAGATAACATGTGGCCTACCAGGTCTTTAAGTGCAGTCTTTTGACTGAATCCCAACTTTATAAAACAAATACTTTTATTTTTATTAATGTATTTTTGTTTGTCAAGTTTCAATAAAACAATCCTCCTGGATTGACCAGCACAATTAGAACATTAGTAAACCATAAGGGCTAAACTGATGGTTGCTACACTCATGATTTAGTTCTAACTTCCCCCACCTGACTGAAGCCACTACTGCACAAGGCTGGTTGGTGAGAGTTTATGGGGCTTGAGTACGCCAGTCTGTCACCAGCTTTCGACAGCAGTGCACTGTGTTTCTGTTTGAAGTGGAATTTGTGAATAGTTGCACAGCTTGACAGTATTTTTTAATTCTGTCTACTTAACAGCCCATTATGTCAGAGAAGGAAGAACACATTTTTTAATGAGGATTGGGAATTGCAATATTATCTTGTTTCTGCTGAAAGATAAGATTATTTGCTTGCTTTGTGATACTGCAATATCAACATTAAAGAAATTCAGTGCTCATCAGCGTTGTAACATTCATAAGGACCACAAATATTTTAAATTAGAGGGAGAGGCATGAAAGCTTGTATTGCAGAAATTAAAAGATGAAAAGGAAAAGCAAAGATAATTCTTTGAAGCAGCAATAAGACCTGGAAATAGTGCCACTGAAGTAACTTTTAAGTAGCTTATATACTCGGGGGGAAAAAGGGAAGCCATTCAGTGATGTACAAATTATGAAAGAATGCATTGCTGAAGTTGTAGGATGCTTAGACCCTGATAACGTTTCAAAGTACAAACAACTGCCTCTTCCAAGGAGAACAATAACTGATCAGCAGCATGAATTAGTCTTTAACTTAACAGCTTTGTGCAATAATTCAAAAAGAAAATATATACGATTCAGTCACTTTGGATGAATCAACTGATACTACTGACTTGGTGCAGGTTTTATACTTCATTTGGTCATAACAGAAGATTTTTTTTTGCTGTGAAGAGTTACTTACTTTGGACAGTCTTGTGAACAGAACATGGGGAATAGATATCTTCAAAAACTTTCAAGATAAAAGTCGTGAAGTTGGGCTGAACTTGGTAAATTTAGTGATTATATATACAGATGGTGGTCCTTCCATGACAGGAAAACATAAAGGGTTTATTGCACAGACAAAAAAAGTGTTAACAGATTTAGATGCTCTCATTTCTTTTCATTGTATCTTGCATCAACAAAATCTTTGTTCTAAAACTACTATTTTAAGTGACACTTTGGAACAAGTTATAATTATTGTTAACTATATTGGTGCAGATGCAACATGGCATTGTCAGTTTCATAGCATGCTAAAGTTGAACAAACAATGAGGTATTCAGTGTGGATTTGGTATATCATTCTAAAATGTGTTGGCTATTGCAGGGATAGGTGTTAGCCAAAATTTTATATCTGTGAGAATAGATAGCTAAATGTTATGAAGAACAGAATCAGCAATGTGAATTATTAAAAGAAGATTTCTATAGGAATGCAGCATTTCTGTGTGATATCATGTCAAATCAAAACAACATCAATATTTCTTTGCAAGGCACTAAGGCTATGTGTGATATATGCCAAAATAGCCAAGCATTTCAAGTAAAGGTATCTTTTTCCAACACACTTTTTCTTTAAAAGGAAATTTTGGATGAACCTTTTCCCCAGTTAGCAAAGGTCATTGATGAGCAGAATGATATATGCAAATCATTTGAAGAATACACAGCTGTTATAGGCCTATTAATTGGAGAATACAATGAAAGTTTAACATTTTGAGAATCATCACACTCTTCAGCCTCACCTAGTTGATATCACCAAATCACCTAAAGAACTACAGATGGAATTGATTGAGCTCTCTGTAGATAACATTTTAAAGTCATTGTTTGATGCCAGGAAAGATCCAATTGAAATATGGAAAAATTCATGCCTTTGGCATCATGCCCCCAAAATGCTTTCTTGCTTTTCAGCCACTTATTGCAGTGAATCTACATTCTCCTACCTAACCCAAACCAAGACACCATTAAGGCTGATACTCATCTAGAGAATTAACTGAAACTGCAGACCTATATGCTGCAACTAAATATTCAAATGCTTTCCAACAAAAAGCAGACACAACAAAGTCATTAAAAGGTTTATTAACTTTAAATAGTTTTCATTTTTTTAAATTATTAAGTACATAGCTGGATTTTTACAAAATAATGTATATTTTTGGGTATATCTAATTGAAGTTTCTTGAATGTGGCCTTATTTGATAACAGCTAAATTAATGCAGCCTTCCAACGTCAAAGGTTTTCCACCCCTGATCTGGCCCAAAATGTCAGTAGTGCCTAGATTGAGAAATCCTGCATTATCCCAAGAAGAATCAATTTTTTATATATTTGTATGCATATAAACAACTTACTTTATTGTTTTTAGACAATGTAAGTAAAGACACCATACAGCTGTATGAGTAAGTTGCATATACAGTGACACCTTAATTAAACCAATCAGGAAAATAAATAGTGCAGAGATTTTCTGGTCTCCTCAGTGATAGAGCAGTGAGAGTAGCAACTGAGAAAAACATGGTAATGATTGTGTTTGGGTATAAGCTTGTTGGAACTGGTCCATAGCTTGGGGTTATATGGGAGGAGCTCATTCATCGGGGAGTGAAAAAGGTGCTTTCTAAGTGGCAGTTGTATCACCAGCAGAGCAGTATCCCAAGAAAGATACTGAGAATGGCTGGCCCTTTGTTTAGGAGCTTGCAGGATAAGTCCCCTCTCATATGCAGATATGTACTATTAAGAGACATTTGAGGTGGGATGCCTGATGATAAAGTGGGAAGAGAAATGTACCATATACATAGTGCTAGAGTCAGTGGTAGGAAATTTTTTCATAGTAAATGCATAAGTTGATCGTATCGGAATCGTGGGTATGATGCTCGTACTCATAAGAATAGTGTGATTAAAAGGAGGGCTTTGGTGGCGAATATTGTGGTGTATGCTTGTGGTGCGTGGGAGTTATATATGATTGATAAGGTATCTTTGTCTTGAAAAAGAACAAATTTGGAGACTTCACACTTCCCAATTTCAAAATTTATTAGAAGGCTAGTGATACTGACATGAGGGTAGCCCCATAGACCATTGGAATAACATTGAGACACCAGAAATAAATACATACATCTATGGCTTTTATGGGTTGAATTGTGTCCCCCCAAAAGATATCTCAAAGTCCTAATCTCTCTTACTTATGAATGTGACCTTATTTGGAAATGGAGTCTTTGAGTATATAATCAAATTAAGATGACATCATTAGGGTAGGCCTTAATCCAATATGACTTGTATCCTTATAAAAAGAGGAAAAGAACACACACAGAAGGAAGTCGGCCATGTGAAGATAGAGACAGAGGTTAAAGTTATTACATCACCAGCCAATGACCAGTGGGGCTACTAGAGCTAGAAGAGGCAAGTAAGGATCCTCCCTGGGAGGTTTCAGAGTGAATATGGCCCTGCCAACACCTTAATTTTGAACTTTTGTCTTCCATAACGATGAAAGAATAAAGTTTCTGTTGTTTGAAGCCATCCAGTTGTATTACTTTGTTATGGCAGCCCTAGGAAACTACTACAGTGGCAATCGATTTTTGACAGTGGTACCAAGTTCATTCAGTGGAGGAAAGAAAGGCGTCTTCAACAGATAGGGCTGGGACAACTAGATTTCCATATGCAAAAGAATGAAGTTGGGCCCCTACCTCACACCATATACAAAAATTAACTCAAAATATATCAGTGACCTAAATACAAGAGCTATATATCCATCAACAGAAGAATGGATAAAATATGGTATATACATACAATAGAATGTTATTTAGCCATAAAAAGGAATGAAGTTCTGATGCATGCTGCAACATGAATTAATCTTGAAAACATCATGCTAAGTGAAATAACCCAGACACAAAGACACATGTTATATGAATTCATGTATATGAAATATTTGGAATATGCCAATTCATAGAGACAGAAAAGTAGGTTAGTGAATACCAGGAACTGATGGAAGGGAGGAATGAGGATTTATTACTTAATAGTTACAGAGTTTCTGTTTGGGGTGATGAATTTATGCTTCTGAATACTTAAAAATGGTTCATTTTAATTTGATGATCTCATATGGGTATCTTCTTTTATGACCATTTTTTTTATTTATGCTTTATTTTTAAATAGAGTATTTAAGATATATAACTATATTAAATATATATTTAAATAGAAATACAGAGCATGATCAGGCAAGAACAAAACAGTTTTGACCTGTTTCTCGGGTCAAGTCACTAAGCTCTGAAGAGTGTGTGTACTTTGAAAGCTACCTAAAAGCAATTTTCAAAAACCACAGTTTGCCACTATAATTCCTTTTTGTACCTCTTTCTCTCTTTTAACTCTTAGAGCTGTCCCATGAATTCCAGTTTTAGAACCCATATTTTAAGTGAAGATAATTTTGTTCAGAAACATAGCACATTGTGTCCCATTTTCTCTAAATCTCTGGACTTCTTGTACAATTTATATTATTGTTTTTAGTATTGAAAGAAGAAAACCTACAGATAAATTTTTTATTAAATACAATAAGATTCATAAACCATTATAAAATTATAATTCACAATTTCTTTATAACATTTCCAAATTTAAAAAAAATTATAATTTGATATATTTAACAAGGTCAGCTGATAAAATTTCTCTCAAAAGTAGAACATGTAAATTTAGTAGAAAAGATTATCTTAAAAATTTGGCTGCTTTCCTCTTTGGGGAGTGATGCCAAATTTGTATCGTAGAGTAGCACAATTTAAATCTCATTTAATCCAATTTTACTTTGATATTTCTCCATATTTATCGACTGTCCTGTTAATATCAGATATCTAGCCAAAATCTTTTGATTGATATTTATTCTGGTATTTTTTGATATTTATTAACTTAAAAAACTCTTTTCAGTCTCGTAGTGTGGATAAGCAACATGCTGTAATCAATTATGATGCCTCTACGGATGAACATTTGGTGAAAGATTTGGGCAGCCTAAATGGGGTAAGTTAAGAGTGTATTTTGTGTCTTATTTGAATATTTGCTTAATATTGTAAGAGGACTAACCAGATTACATTTCCTATTTATATTTCTATTTTCTTTAGTTTATATTTTACTTTTAAATGCTTACTAGGTACATAGCACTTTGGGGACCATACAGTAGAATATGAAACTAGCTCATGTTCCCAAGAAACTGTATAAGCAAAATATACTTACAAGGATTCAAAAGTGGTTGATTATTATTATCTGTAATGATTAAAGAAGACTTCCTTAAGGAGTTGAGACCTAAGCTTGACTTTATTATATGGCTGGAATTTTTATGGGAAAACAGCATTCTTGGGGACTGAGAAGTATGGGTTAACTTTAGAAAATAAAGATGAAAAGGTGGTTTGGTGCCAGTTAGTGGATGACCTTCTCTACGAGGTTAAAAAAAAAAAAGTGAAACATAACCATTAATAAATACAATACATTATCTAAACCCCAGTGTTCATTATTGCTTCTTTGACTTCATACTTTGGAGATATTTTTGTGTTACTTCAGTGAATTTTTTCTTATTCTTTCATTTGGTCTTTCTATATTTGGCAGAATATAAGTAGCCACGGACTATAAGAGAATGTTGAAATATTGAATGATTAATCTTCTTTCAATTTCTTAATTTTCTTAAGGCTCTGTTAACACAGGCAAATATAGTATTGTTCATATCTGTGCTATTGAAATTCTTGAGGTGAATTTAACAGAAACTAAATGTATCCCAACTGCTTCAAACTACTAGTGCTTTTCAGAATATACATTAGACATTAAATGAAAAAGCATGCAGAAATTTGACAAATATGGTGAAACTCTTTTTTTTTTGCCAGTTTCTGGATTGGTCTATTACTTGAAGAACTTTTATATTTATTCTTTGAGATACCTTTATTGTAGGCATGTTTTTCTGTTGGTTTTATTCAAGCCTTTCTTTCTCATAGCACATACAGAATTAAGTCTACATTCTTCATGTTTGCACTGCAAGTCCTTACATTTGACATTACCCACTTTTCCAGGTTCATCCTCCATCGTATTTTTCCCTTGCCGTACCTCCAAAACAGTAGTCTTCTACTATATTGTCTCCTTCTCCAAATGATTTGTTAGGTTTTCTTCAGCCTACTAATTCTTCCTTCTCCCTTGCCATTCATAAAAGTTTTATTTATATTTAAAAGTAAAACTCAAATTCCACTTCTTCCTGAAGGGATCAAAGAGAAAACCCTTGTATTTAGGAATATTATCTTGCTTTAACATGGTGAAAGGATTGAAATAAAAGGAGATGGGCAAAGTTGGTAAACATTGTTGTTAACATGAGGCATGTGAGTTAGCAATTTTGATTCCCAGTTCCTGTTTGCTAGAATTACTCTTCCTTCTCCACAACTATAAGCTTTTGGGTGCTTTATCAGCCTTTTATTAAATCTACTTTTACATCTCTGTTGCTGTGCTGAATTATGAGCTCCTGATTCCGCTTCTGTGACCATGGTGCCTAGCACAGGGCTCTGCACGGTACATGAACCCGGTAAATGTTTTCTGAGTAGAAAATTGAATTAACTTTTTCTGTTTGAAGGGTATTATAGCAAAAATTTTTAATCTATTTCTGCAATGTGAAAGATTTTAGCAATGTTATATTCTGTCTTTAAGTCTAAATAAAGTTTCTAAATAAAGTTTCATCTTGACCACAGTACTATTCTTATGTGTCTTTATCTTATTATCTTGGACAATAATAAGCAAGAATTACATCAGTGTTTTAGTCTTCTGTAAGACGGTGATCAAATATGAAAATTATTTGGTGTTATAAAAAATACCAGATGAAATATGAACTATATTTCTCTGGATTGGCCTTTGTCATAATTTGATTATACTCAATTTTATGAAAGATAATAACTCATAGAGAGTAACATCTGCAATCTGAACTTGAAATCAGGACCTGGATTTGAATCTCATCTGTGTAATTTACCAGCATTGTAACCTGGGATAAATCACTTAATCTCTCTGAAATTCAATTTTCTCATATATATTCATATTATCTCCCGAAATATGTGAAAATATGTTGAGTTGAAGTTTATAAATATAAAGATACAATGCAAAAATCTTTTTTCAGTTATAAAATAGTGAAATGATAATTCCTGCTCTATAGTACTGTTATGAGGATTAAATGTGACAATACACGTGAGTATACACCTATTAAAGCATTACACAAATGATAAATGTACTATTACCAGAAATAACAGCCTAAGAAACATGCCTTTGCAAAGGATTTTGGTAGCCAAATAATATCAAAAATCTGTGAATTACCAACTATCATTCATTTTATTTAAAAGAGAACTTGTAGACTATTATTTACAGTCTGTTTGCTTATAATATTCATATTATTCTAGGAACTTGAGCATCAAGTTAAAAGTAGTAATTTCAGAGGTGGGGGATAGATACAGTGTAGTGGTTATGAGCCCAGCTTGAATTGATGTAAGTTTGGATGAGTTACTTGATTTCTCTGTTCCTTAATTTTAAAAAATTGAAATAATAAAATTTTACTCACCTCACAGGTTGTTGTGAAAATATAAATAAGTTGATAATTTTAAACACTTAGGACAGTACATAGAAACATTCAATAAATGTGAGAAAAGCAGTTAAGACAAGTTTAGCACCCTGTAGCCTCTATACTTTTCAAAGAATCACTGTTATAGTTTTTAAAAATCACTTACCAACTAAATTCAGCTTAAAAATGATCACTTCCACGGCTACTCCCTTTCACCCTACCCTAAAATGCACTCTCAAGGAACCTAGATCTGCAATTTATGTAATTGCCACCAGAAATGGCAATGAGGAAGGTGGAACTGGTTCTGTTGCTGATATTTTACTGGGCCGTTTTCCTGCAAGCGCGTTAAAGGGTATCTTTCTGTGGAAACCCTCGTTTGCCTTCAGTTCCTCCTGCCTCTTCCTGCCACTGGAACACTTGCCCCTCTTATAGCCACTGTGGCCTCTGCTGTACCACACCTCTCCCATCCTAACCCTGCCTTTTGTTACTAGGCTGCCACCTCAGCAATCTATGTACCGGTCTCTCCTGTGTCCCCCTTTTACACTGGTGTTCTTGCCAGCGTCAGACCTGTGTGGCATAGATGGAAAGTAGTCCTTACTAAAGTATAAAAGGAAGAGTTGGGGAAGAAGAGGAGGCTTTTGTAGCTGGCAAAATGATTGAGGTGGTTGTGTTCCTGGCCAGTCTGTTCAGTTTTCCAGATCATCAATATAATATATGGTGGTTATATGATTTTATAATATCAATTATATAATTTAGTTGTATGTAAATTAAATAGGTATTTATTTACTTTGGTTTGCTTCTGTGGTGTTAGTGGTTTAGACAGGGAGTTTTTGGAGATGGTTTAGCTTGGCCACTTAACCTTTCTCAATCTGGAAAGCACGTGGGATTTGTAGTTCAGAGACCTGAGTTTGAATCCCAACGTTACCACTTGAACTCTGAGAACTTGATTGTTACTTTACTCTCTGTGCCTCATTTTACTCATCTATCCTACCTACCCAGTAGAGGTGTGGTCAGATGGCACTGACATAGAAACAAAAGTTGTTTTTCTTTTTGTATGTAATCTATTAAAATACTTCATATTTGATCTACTAAAATGATTTTTTTCCCATTGCTCTTTGAAATTTTCTATATTCCTGTGGTAATTTAGACCTTTAGGAGACTATTTTCTGCCAGATGTTTTTACTTGCATTTTTGTGAGCTGAAACTTTGTGTCTGGCTCATATTTCCTAAGCTTTTTTAGATCTTTGGGAATATTTGTCATAAATGGCTGTGTGTTAAAATTATGTTTCCTGATCTCTGAAAGTGCCTAGTACATATGTTAAATGCCCAGCAGGTACTTAATATTTAAGAGAGTTGAGCAGTCAGTCTTAAACTTTAAATGAATCTTATAGGTCATCTTATGCCTTTTGAGTAAATACGATGTTTTAAGTTATTAAAGACAGTTTTAAATAAAATTGGCTCAGAACTATAGTATTCTTCTTACATAGTATACCTAGTTGTTCATCTTCTGCATACCGGACATCAGTGAATTTAATACTTTCTTTTATTCTTCTCTTTTCCATCATTTTCCTCAGCTTTTCTGTTGTTTTTTTTTTTTTTTAATTTTAAAAATTAAAAAAAAAAATCTTTTTTCTCTTCTTTCTTGTTTTATTTATTTATTTATTTTTTTATCACCTTCCAGGACAGCCAATGGTACATGCTTTTCTGTTTTGTAGTTACAGTCGTGCACTCCATAATGACGTTTTGCTCAATCGTGGACTGCATAATCATGGTCCCATTAGATTATAACGGAACTAAAAAATTCCTATCCCCTAATGATTTGTTACAGTTGCCTGTAGTATTCGGTACAGTAACATGCTCTACAGGTTTGTAGCCTAGGAGCAATAGGGTATACCAAATAGCCTAGCCTAGGTGTGTGGTAGACTATACAATCTAGGTTTGTGTAAGTACTGTACATTCTATGATGTTTATACAACGAAGAAAATTGCCTAACAATACATTTCTCAGAAGAACGTATCTCTGTCATTAAGCTGATCCATGACTGTATACTTAGAATACTGTGGTAAACTAAAGGTATAAATTTCATTAAAATATTCTGAAATATTTATTTTGAAAAGAAACCTGAAATTAGAATTTATAAATCCCAGAAACCTTTGAACTTTTTTAAATTATCATTTCAACCTTTCTGTAAAGCATGTTGGAAGCTTATCATTTAGGATTACTCATAAATCATACAAAGGTGTGATCTGGACTTATAGCAGTATTTCATTATCTCTATATATTTGTCTTTAAATAAAAATTGCAGCTTTTTCTAATTTCTTTTGTAGACTCAGAAACTGGTATTTTGTGACATATTACAAAAAGCTAATTATGCATAAAAATTTGAGGGGATAATCTAATCTCCTTATGTGTTTTACTGTACATAATTTGGGGTCTTTCTAAACTTCCTCACCATGAAGGGAGCCTTCCCAAAGAAGCTATCATGGCCATCTCAAATCTGATAAAATAGGAGGTAGAAAAAATAAAAAGGAAAGAGTATAGTAATTTTTAGAATTTCAACTTATCAGAGAAAAACTTGTTAGGTGTCTGTATTCCAGGCAATTAAGTATAACATTTGTTCTATAATCTGTAAATCTAGCAAATTCTAGGCCTTTAATTCCCAGAACGCCAGGAAAAATAGTCATCACCATTTACCGTCTCTGTCCAGTGGACCTTTTTTATTTTTTAATATATATGTAACATATGTCTTTTTACAAATAATTTTTAAAAGTAAGAATAAAAGGTTAATTAAAGCAACTTGAAATTGTAATAAAAAATTAGACATGACAAACTCAAATTTTTATTTCATATTTTTCTGGTTTTTAAATGTATATAATCCACAAAATGGGCAATGTTCTTTGAATGCAACTAACTCCTTGTCAGTTGACATGTGTTCACCTGGGACGTATAACTATTTTATAAATGTTGATTCCAGATCTCAAGTACTATACGTTTCTGGTTGGTTCTAGCATGTTATTTGTGGTTCTTCTTGTTCATGCAGGATCAAAACATAGTGATTTTAAACCTTAGCAGCTTGTCATTTTATTAAGAGGCTAGCCATCATGTTTCTTTCATAATTGCAAAACATTTTTATTATTAGAATTACAAACAATAATTAGAAGATCAATCCAGTAATTTTATTTCTGCATCATCTCTTTCCTTCTTGTCATCTTTGTGTAAATACTTGCATTTGTTCACTTACTGTATCAAATAAGTGTTGGAACACAAATATCAATTTTAAAAAAAGAATACTGTCAAAATTTCTTTTAAAATACAAAATGGTTCAGATTCTTGTTGAAAAATATTGCATGATTCTTACTGAATACTAACTGGATGGAAATACCTTATTTCCTTTTTTCCTCAGAAACATTCTTATTGATTATTGCATTAGAAAATTCATCTAGGATTATCTGTATCTGAAGACACATGGTCTGATAATTTTGCTTATGCAATCAGCTTTATCATTATTACTGTGGTCTAGAGTGCTGCTATCTGTCTCTTTGTATTTATCTTAAAATTATGAAGTATCTTCCTGTTTTCTCCTCTTTGCCTTTATGGATGTTAAATTAGAAATTCCAAATTTTCAGCTGTGTTCTTTAATAGCTAAAAAGCCCCACAAAATCCAACGTGTAGAAAGATAGTATCTCCAGATGTCTTTTATATTTTCTTGGAAAGATGATGCAATATTTTGGGCATTGCAATAAGAAAACTGAAGAATGATAAAATAGTGATGATTTATTTCACTATTGAATCATCCTTCTAGGTCTCTGCTTTTCACTGCAGTAACCACTAGCCATGTGTAGCTATTGAGCACTCGAAATGTGACATCTAAATTTCAAAGACATATTACCAAAAAAAGAGTATAAAATATCTTCTTAGTTTTTATATTGATTATTTATTGAAATGTTGCTATTTTGGATATATTGGGCTAAATTAAAAATAAATTATTAAAAGTAATTTCATCTCTTTTTTTGTTACCTTTTTTATGTGCCCACTAGAAAATTTAATATTATGTGTGGCTTGATTTGTGGGTTGCAATATATTTCTGTTGGATAGCACTGTTCTAAGTATTTGTTATTCTTTTGTCTTAATATTTTGGTCATTTTCAGTATTATTAGAAATAATTGGCTGGCATGGTGGCTCTTGCCTGTAATCCCAGCACTTTGGGAGGCTGAGGTGGGAGGATCACTTGAGCCCAGGAGTTCCAGACCAGCCTGGGCAACATAGTGAGACCTCCATCTCTACAAAAAATTTGAAAATCAGCCCGGTGTGATGGCACATGCCTGTAGTAATAGCTACTCAGAAGGCTGAGGTGGGAGGATTACTTGGGCCCAGGAGTTCAGGGTTATAGTGAGCTATGATCATGCCATTGTACTCCAGCATGGGCAACAGAGAGAGACCGTGTCTCTAAAAAAAAAAAAAAGAAGAAAAGAAAAGAAAAAAGGAATAATTGATGAGTAAAGAGGAAATAGATACTAGGATGATGAAATAGAACAATTTCAACATATAGGAAAAGTAAGATCACCAAGACCCCATAATGTATCTCAGATTCATGAAAGGATCCAAAGAACCCATTTGACAGTTACAAAACAGAATAAGACTTATTCTGTTTTGTTTTTTCAAAGTAAATTTTATTTTTGTTCTTTAGAATAATTTTAAGAATAAAACTAATGAAATGTGACTCCTCACAAAGTAGAATTTTTCAAAAAAGTTAAAATTGGGTCCATTGAACTCTGATAGTATATTAAGAGTTCAGTATTTTACCCTTTACAATTGCCAGCTTCAGAGTAGGAGCTTTTCTTGGTGGCATCAGTTTTAGGAACTATACTAAATGCCTAAATTCATCTTGGCAGCACCAGGTTCTTTGTGTAATAGTGATAAAAGGATTAGTATGAAATTATTTATCACCATATAGGATGCATGACACATCTTATGATGCACAAGCTGTGTTAGTCACCATATGACATGTACTTCTAAGTATTAGATTTGAGGATTTGCTTGTCTGAAATATAAGATAATACTTCATATGTAACCTGACATCTTTTTTTTCCCTCGTAGACTTTTGTGAACGATGTAAGGATTCCAGAACAGACTTACATCACCTTGAAACTTGAAGATAAGCTGAGATTTGGATATGATATCCTTATATGATTTTGTGCATTTATTAAATTTATTCAAAAATATTTACTCTGGTGTAAATTAATATTTCTTGAGACATAAGAATTCACAATGTAGGTATGCTAGGAATCTCAGTTTATGGTATCTTTCCATACTAACACACATGTTAAAAAACAATTTTTTTTTCTTAGTTATTATGCCTGTTCCTGAAAATCACCCTGGAGAAGTTGATGGACTCAGCTTTTTTTCCATCTCTCTTACTCTGTTTATATAGTTTCAGCAACAGTCTCCCTGCAGTGCTGTTGGATTTGTAGTTTGGGTATCAAAGAATATAACTGAAGAGGGGACAGGGAATTATTTAATTTTAGTCCAGCCCAGGGATTGTTTTCCAGTGCACTGATCATAATGTGCAAGTGGATCGTAATGCGCAAATCAACCTCCTGGGAGGAATGTAAGAATTTAAACATACCTTTTTCTTCCATCCCTTCCCTTCATGTTTTTTTTATACATTACATCTGTATTGCCTATTTAATTCAAACTTTCCAATATCGTGTGCCTTCTAAGACCAATATTCTTCGAAAATATACATTATGCATTTAATGTGTATTTAAAATTCTTTTGTTTAAAAAATAGGAGTCTAATAGCTGAACAGGGACTTGACTGTATTATACTATGTAGGGTAGCATGAAGAATCACTAGTGAAGAGAAGGAACATGATTGAAGAATAAAAACATTTTTATTTATACAAGGCAAAAAGTTTTATGAAAAGTACTTATTTATATTTAGTCAAAACACAGATATTCTGTTTTATGCTGAATGTTTTTCTTGAGTTTTAGTTTTTTGAATTATTAATACTATATTTGTCTGGGCTTAGTTAATAAAGAATATATTAAACATTGGCAATTTAGGTGGACTTTTGTCACTCTAACAGAAATTATCATTTTAGCTAAGTATAGTTGATGCTCAAAGTAAATGTACTAACATTATAAAAATTGTTCCTTAAAATTGATGAAATTTTTAAATTTTAAAATTTAAAATAAAAAAGTTTTGTGACATATCTCATAATACACTTGAGCCAAAGAAATATACAAAAGGAATATTCAAAAAGTCAATATACAAAAAACTCAAACCATTAAATATTAATACTTGTATGTTTTAAACCTTTAAAAAGTATGTCTCACATAAAAATGATTAAGAATTAGGAATAAAGCGTTGATGAGTAGATCATTTCCCACCAGCCTATGTTTCATCAAAAAACAAATACAAGTGTATTCTGAATTTCAGTACATCCTTTAATTCGTTTGGTATTAGCTGTTTTAAAACAGAAAAAACTGGAAAATTCAGGTTTTAATAAAACTCTATAGAATTAACTTTGAATTTTAAATCAAGAAAAAACTGTGTTGAGAAAAAACTCATGATTTTATGGATCGTACACTAATTTCTTAATAGCAAACTAACATTTCTCTTTTATATACCAGCTTATAATATGTTTGTTTAAAATTGCCAGGATAAAAGTTTTGTCCCAAAGGACTTTCTTAGGGTTGAATGGTCAGCGTTGAGCTGGAACTACTGTCCAAACGCCCAGGTGAGGCTCATTTAATTTTATTATTTTAAAGTAGCATATGTCACAGTGGCAGAAATTTTATTATATAGGATAAATTTTAAAAACAGATATCATATGTTTACTCATTTTGTATTTAGATATACTAAATGGAAGAAATTGTTATTTTATTCATATTAGTATTAATCTTAATAGCCAGTATACAAACTACGGTACCTTGGAGTGGAAAACTAATGATTAAAATGCCACAGCAATAGAAAGAACATTTTAACATGGATTGAGACTAGAACTAGGGAACATAATTTATCTGCCAGAAGTCTTTTTTTCTAACTAGAGAAATTAAGTGATTTGGGAAAGCACATAGTGAAAGAGCCAACTTTTAAAGATGACAGTAAACTCATAAGGGGTACAGAAATGCTACATACAGTAATAAAGGTAAACCTCGGAAACAGCTAGTAAATCTTCAAGTGGCCAAAAATGTGGCAGATTAGGAAGCCTAATTTTACTCATTGCACAATTATTTATTATATGCCTCCATTCATAGTCTTAGTGGTTTAGGGATACAGTAGTGAATAAAACCACAATCATTGTCCTCCTGGAACTTACACTTTAATAGGGTTGGAGGGAGCTGACAGCATGCACACCAAGTGAGGATATTAAAGGGTGATAAATTCTATGGGAAAAAAATTGTGAAAGGGATGGATACAGGGCACTAGTTTTGTGGAGTGGGAAGTTACAACTTTAAAAAGGATATTCATGAAGACCTCACTGAGAAACCAGCACTGGAGCAAAGATGTGGAGAAATTGAAGGAGGTGGCCATCTGGAGAAATTGCTTTTCAAGCAGATGGAAGAGTAAAGTGCAAAGGACTTGAAGCAAGAACACATCTGGCATGTTTGAGGAACAGCATTTCAAAGCCAATGTGATTGGAGCCAGCAAACAACATCACGAATGTATTGGAAACCAGAATGTATCAGCCATACTAGGCCATTATATTGACTTTTATTCTGAGCAAATCGGGGAGACATTGGCGGTTTTTGATCAGAGTGCCGGAATATGACTTACAAGCTACACTTGTTCGAAGAAGTCTAAGGGAGGAGGTGGGCAGGGGTTGGAATAAAGAGGAAGACCAGTTGGAGGCTATTGTAGTAGTGCAAGTGAGCAATAAAGGAGGTTTGGACCAGGGTGGTATAAGTGGAGGTAGTGAGAAATGATAGGATTCTGTGTATATTTTGGGGATGGGGCCCATAAAATTTTCTGATAAAATTAGATATAGAGTGAGAGAAGAGTCAAGGATGAATCCAGGCCGGGCGCGGTGGCTCACGCCTGTAATGCTAGCACTCTGGGAGGCCGAGGCGGGCAGATTGTTTGAGCTCGGGAGTTCGAAACCAGCCTGAGCAAGAGCGAGACCCCGTCTCTACTAAAATTAGAAAGAAATTAATTGGACAACTAAAAATATATAGAAAAAATT